AATGATGTACAAATGCGCTTTACACAATTGATGTGTGTATGGATTGGGATAACAGTTGTATGAGCCCCTAATAAAATGTTTTAAAAATAAATAAATAAAAAATAAAGACAAATAAAGGTGTTGGGGTGGGGGGGTGGTGAGGTAGCTGTGTGTATACTGATAAGGAATGTGCTGCAAGAGATAACATTAAAATCAAGGGCTAACCACTCTACCTAATTCGACCTCTGTGAGATAGTAATAATGAAAAAAAACAACAACATTGATAGATGCCTCTCTGATAAGAAACTTTAAGAACTTGCCTTCCTTGGGCAGATAAACCCACAAGGGATTTATACTCTGGGTACTTAAATGGCTTGTGCTTATCTACTAACTTAAATGTTAGTGGTTCACAGCCACCCAGCAGCCCCATGGAAGAAAGACCTAGAAATCTGCTTCTGTCATCATTGCAGCCAGGAGTGACTTGATGGCAACGCATTTAACTGTCCGTCCATCCATCCACCCATCCATCTCAGAATTGACATGAGGACAACACTTTCATTTATTTTTAACTTGCTTACGTTTCCACTCTCAACTGCTTGCATCAGAGCAAAGATACCACCTTGAACATGTCAATTTGGGGCCACAGTTGAGAACCAGGGAGATAGTAGCATATTAGAGGCACCACTATATGATTGTTTTCCCATGTGAAGTGGGAAGCCTGAGAAATTACAAAGGGTCCTGAACACGGGGAACCAGAAGATGCTGGCTCACCTGCAGATTCCATGTCTGTTTCACATATTCCCTAATGAGGTTTTCTTTCAAGTCTTCAAAGGGTCCAGTCTTGGGCTGCACCCCGGGTGGCCGGTTGAAAGGCTTCTTGAGGAGGCAGATGAGCCCATCAGACTCCCTGGAGTGATAGTGGCAGAGCTCGGCAGGGCTGCTGTGGGTCCTGCCGCCGGCAATGGCGTAGGTCCCGTTCAACTCACGCTCGATAGTGTAGTGGTGGGCCTTCCTGCCATAGGCCACAGACAGGGCAAAACCTCCCAGGTAATTGCGGCTCTGGCGCAGCAGATAGAGCCCATCACTCATGCCCCCCTGGACCAGGTAATCTTCTGCCTCCTCTCGGGTGATGTTGCCGAAAAAGAAAAGCAGGTGGTTAGCCGTGTCAGACATGCCACTGGCCATTGCTGCCTTCTTCCCTCACAGCCTAGAGAAGGCAGACACAGAGGTAGCCACCTGGGAAAGAAACAAAGACAGGACACCAGTTAAGAAACAGGTACATTTCTTCAGTTAACCCGAACCCTTTTTGGCCAGCATAGGACCTCTCCCTCTTTGGACTTCAGTGTAATGCCCCAAAATGCTGCTGCCTTTCGTACTTACTTAAGGATTAAAATTTCCCAATGTATCATCCTCACAATATGTAATTTCAAGAGTAAAGTATGCAAGTGATAAAACTGACTTTTGCTTATGCGTGTCAGGGTGCGACGAATTCAGAGAGTCACATTAAAAAGAGAAGTATGGTTGCACACGGACCTCTCCAGAAGTGAGCCTGACAATCAGCAGACGGCTGTGGCCGGTAGGAGTTTAAAAGAGTGGCTTCCCTTGAAGTGTGGACAATTATAAGTAAAACTAACGGCTCATCTGAGTTTTCAGATTTATGACTAAAAAATATCACTAAATAAAATTTTTCACCAGAAAGACAAGATTCTACTTTGCCTTATCACATAGTAGACGGACTATGTGACAGGAGTTGATGTGATAGCCCCACTTATACGCAAAGTAAAATGTAGTGACTGTGGTCACAAGCCCTCTCATCTCTGGCTGTGGGTGACAAGAGCAAACGGCCGATGCCTTGAGGCATGAGAAGTGACATCTTCGAGAGGTCCCATAGACCTCAAGGTAACCGCTGTTTGCTTCCCTCTCTTATGGGTTGAGTTGGGTCTCTCAAGAAGATATGGTCAAGTCCGAACCCCGCCCACTGCAGAACCTGTGACTATGACCTTGTTTGGCCATAGGGTCATGCATGAGGTTATGCCGGAGTAGGATGGGTCCTCTTTATCTCTTGATAAAAAGAGGAGACACACACACAAAGGGAAGGTGGCATGTGAAAACGGAGGCATTGATTGGAGTTATACTGCCAAGGAATACCTGAAGTACTGGAATTTGAAAGAGAAAAGAAAGCATGCTCCCCTTAGGCCTTCATGATGTGGTGGCCAGTGGCAGGCCAGTTCCTGTAGGAAATATGCTGAGTCCTTGCTTGGTTTCATGCAAGCACTGCCAATACCCTGCCCACTCCTCCTCCAAGTGGCTTTTGATCATGTTCCTGACTCCCTTCATCTATGCTTTTGTCTTATTTAAACATCTTAGGCTCAAACTTTTAGTCTCCAGATTTGTGAGACGATAAATTTGTCTTGGCCTGCTAACTGCAAGATTAGCAGTTCTAAACCACCAGCCACGTTGAGAGAGAAAGGTGGGACTTTCTACTCCCATAAAGAGTTTCCGTCTTGGACCCTAACAGGGACAGTTCTACTCTGGCACGCAGGCTTGCTGTGCATTGGCATCGACTCCAGGGCAGTGAGTTTGAGGGTGATTTTGAGTTTGTAGTGTTTGTGAGCGAAGCCTTGAAATACAAGTTCACCCTTGTTTAGTCTTGGGCTTTAGTGAAGTCTCAGAGAGCTAACATTACAGCCCAGCTTAGACACCAAGTATAAGCATGACAGTGGTCACGGAAGTGCTCTCTCCCCTTGGGCTTGGGAGATTAGCTAACAATTACTGTCTTGAGTCATGGAAAGCCTGGCAACAGCACACTGTTGGCTCCCACATTCTACAGTCAGGAAGGAGGGCAGAGCACGTGGACCACCTTCCTGGGTGCTAGGACCTACCATCTGTAGGAAAGAATCAATGCAGATTCCTTACTAAATGAGAAAACATATTAGAGAAAAGTTCATGCTCTGACTGAAGCAATGCACTTGGAAACGAATTGCCATTGTGTAAGCATCTGCTAAAGAAGGTAGCCAATAGATCTCTAAGGACAGTGTTTTCTCTCAGGGGTAGTGGGGAGACATCCTAGTCTCTTAAGAGGTGTCTATTTTCAACAAAAGGGTCTTGCCATCAATACATGACTCTACTACTTTATCAGGAAGAAATGCACCAAATAAATGGGGCTGTTCCAATTGTTGTTGAGTAGAAATCCACTCGAATGGATATCCCATGTCAGAAGAAAACTGGTTTTCAAGAGCATGTTTCTCATAAGGCCATCCTTCCGAGATGCCTCTGGGGGAACTCACACCTCTAATCGTTTACTATAAGATGCCTGTGTTAACCATTCACACCGCCCTTGGAGAAATGCACATCCAGGCCTCTTAATGCTCCTCACAGGCACATTTATATTTATGTGAAACATTTTTCTTAGTGTGAATTGTTCTGCAAAAAACTTAAAATAAGACTTGCCCGATAGAGCCAGACGATTTTCTCTAGATAACACCATCAAAGCAGTACTCCTGGGTGAGCATCTCAATGCGCATGAACTTAATCATAAATTGATAGCACAACGAAATCACTTTTGTGCTGTTCTTCTCATAGCATTTGACTATCGATGACTACTTTTCCCTTCTCCAACAAATTCTACAGCATTCCCTCCCTCCCAGCAAGTTTGTTTTGAGAGTCCATATTCCCTCTTATGTATAAGAATTCTAGTGACAAAAAAAGTTATCTTTGGAAAATAGTGAGTTGAGAAGTCTTTGCAAAAGGCGACTCCTCTGTATTAACGTTTCTTCTAGCTATTACTTCTTCCATGCTGTTGTTGCTGGTTCTTTCCTGCTCTGCCCTGCCCTGCCTTTAAGCAGTGATGGACTAAACCCTCCTTTCTCACATGTGTTCCTCTCCTAGAGAGTGTCTAGCAGTGCTCTATGGACCCCGTTGCAATGCTAACTTCTCTCTGCCTTCAGCCTAGTGATTAGAGTACCACCCTGCCAACACCTCTGACACGTTCATGAACGTGGAAATCTTCGGGGATTTTGTTACAATCCTGGAATCTACACTGCTCTGGCCAAATACTTCCAGGTGATCTGACCATCTCTGAGAGCAAGATCCTAGCTGCCTTGTTCCACCCTAACTGCACTGCACTCAGGCGCTGGCCTATAAGTTACAGCTGCTAGTCTTTGTACCTAGGAACTTAGGTCCTTCTGGGTTCTTGGTTTATCTCATGCTCATCTTCCATTATCCTGCTAACTTTTCCTCCAAGTGACTTTGGAACATGTTTGTGACTCGACCCACCTATGTCATTGTCTCTTCTAAATACATCGTCTTCGTCTGCGCTGCTAGGAACTTCTGTTGGCCTTTTCACTTGCCCCTTCTTCCTCCCCTAGGGCACATCACCCTGATTCGTTTTACTTTCTTCTCCTGCCAAACAGACCTTCTGGCAATTTCCCCTGGCCCACAAGGTACTGCCTATACCTTCTCATATACCCTCATCATCTCCCACTCCTAACCTCATGTCTGCAGATCTGGGTCCCAGTGATGCCTCTGCACTTACCTGGGGCACCTCTCAGTAATGCCTGTATTTGAAGTGCTCTGTCGGCTTGGGAGTTGTACCTTTTTCTTGCTTCCCTGGCCATACCTACCCTGTTTCCCCGAAAATAAGACAGTGTCTTATGTTAATTTTTGCTAGATCTTATTTTCAGGGGATGTCTTATTTTTCCATGAAGAATACGGTACACATTTATTGTTCATTGTTTTATTAAAAGAGACCTCACACTTCCTGTCTGCTCTGGCTGCGCTGCGGGCAACAGTGAGCTGCGGAGTGGCGCCTGCTGCTCAGGTCCAGAGTCCAGAGTTAGGGTAGCTTTGGGGGGCCTTATTTTGTGGGAGGTCTTATTTGGGGGGGTGCCTTATATTTCAGTGAGAGGCAAAACTGCAAGTAGGTCTTATTTTCGAGGGATGTCTTACTTTCGGGAAAACAGGGTAGTCATCTTTTCAGACCTAATTCAAATGTCACTGCACTGTCACTGTCCCTGACTGCCCGTGTATTCCTGTGTTCTCATGTCCGCTTTCCCTAATGGCAGCCACTGTCGTCTTCAACTGGCAGAGTAAATCTTAAAGAACAGTATTTAAAAAATAAAAAGTACAAGTACTTTTTTATACGGTTTAAATTGTGATCACCTGGTTTACAGAAGGCTATGGATGACACTGGAAGTCCAAAATCCATTTGCAGGGCCACACATAGATTAAGCCTCTAGTAAATCCCCCCTGATGATAGGTGAGGGATGTGAATAGCCTTGTTATCAGACAGAATATTATAGAGACGATTATAGTAGATAGTTAGGTTTAAATGTAACAACTTATTTGATCCCTCTTTTGATGAATTTAAAACTGGAATTAGATTTTTTTAATGTGAAGGGAAAGACATGTGAGTTAAGTCTCCCGTGAATGCCCTCAGAACACCGGCAAGGGATGTGAACAGTCTTGCTGTTCACAGAGTGCAAAGGAAAACGGATTATGGTAGATGTAGTTAGGTTAAAATTTAACACCTTATCTTTATCTCCCCTTTGACCCATTTTGAAGTTGTTGTAGTTTTTCATTTTTTCTGCTTGCTTTTCAACAGGTTTTTCTCTCTTATTTTGTTATTGTGTGCTTTTTTTGTTTCTTTGATGGGTGAATCTATAGAGATAGTAACTGGGTTCATGGTTTCTTGAGGTACGGCAGGGGAGGTTGGGGGCAGAATGGAAAGCTTATAACAGAATACAAGAAAGAAGAGAATGCTCTAAAATCGATTGTGGTAATGATTGTACAATTCTTCTTGATATGACTGAACTACTGAATTGTATGATATGTGGATTATGATCCAATAAAATTGTTTTAAAAAATAATTTTTGATTTCTAAAAATTCTAACAACATGACTACCATATTTGGTGAGCCATTGGCTTGCTGCCATCAGTGCTGGTACATCAGTGTTAATCTCAAGTTGAAGTGCATCAACATGGGATGAGATGGCCAGGAGCAGGTGCCATGGGAGCACATAGGAATTTGAAGCAGCACTGCCTGATCTACTTCTACATGCAAGGGCCCTCTGGATGGCTTTGATGATATATTACAGATCTACTTTGAAGTATGGGTTTTGGTAATAAGGGAAAAGGCTGTACTCACTCCTCAGAACCTTACCTACTGAAAGGCCCTGTGCTTTGAGGGAAGGGCT